GGATGCAAATGACCAGCTGTCTGCAAGGAGTATCTATCCTTCCATTCCCCACCATCCAGTCCGAGCTGAAGAAGCTCCTTGGATGAGAAGAGAAACGTCTTCAAAGAAAAGCCACAAAGTCCAGCTGCCTCTTGAAAAAAGGAAGCCCCTTTGGGGACAACCAAGGACTTGGATGACGGAGAATCTCCGTAGACTTTTAGGGGAGTCCCCTGGACCAGTCTGGAACCTGCCAAGGGCTCACAGTAGCTCAGCGGTTCTTCCTCCTCCTTGGTCTGCTTGCTGTAGCTGGACTCCATCTCTTCCACCTCCTTGACGCTCTCAGAGGTCGGCTGGGCTACTTCGTCGGAGCCAGGGGTCAAGGAACTGGTGCTGGCCAAGGTGGTCTTGCTATGCGGAGAGGACAGCCCGCTGATCTTGGACATGCTCCCTGTCATCTTGGGTGACTTTTTGCTGGACGTGCCCCGAATCTGCTTCTGGGTGTATCTTCTGCCCTGGAAGAATGATAAAAAGAATAACAGAGTCGGAAGGGTCCTTGGAGGTCTTCTAGTCCAACCCACTCCTCAAGCAGGAGACCCTAGACCACTTCAGACAAAGGGCCTGTCCAGTCTCTTCTTAAAAACCTCCAGTGTTGGAGCGTTCACAACTTATGGAGGGAAGCCCTTCCATGGATTAACTCTTCCCACGGTCAGGAAATTTCCTCCTTAGTTGGATTATTCTGACTATTCTATTATTATTCTAACTATTCTATTATTATTATTCTACTGTACTATTCTAAAATTATTCTACTATTCTACCACTATAAGCCTGATTTTTGTACATGTGCTCTCAATGTTCTTATGTACACTGAGAGCTTATGCACCAAAGACAAATTCCTTGTGTGTCCAATCACATTTGGCCAAAAAAGAATTCACTTCACTTCACTTCACTTCACTTCACTTCACTTCACTTCTATCCTATCCTATCCTATCCTATCCTATCCTATTCCCTTCCCCTTCCTTCTCTTCTCTTCTCTTCTCTTCTCTTCTCTTCTCTTCTCTTCTCTTCTCT